AGGTGGATAACCTATTCAGTTTGGGATTACAATGCAATACGGTCTTTCTCTAATACAATACTCTTGACTACATTGTTTGGTTTGATTTTATTCATGTCTACTATCCAATGTGATTCTCTTACTTATATGATTACCTTGAATGTGATTTGGAACGACTTCCTAAATCTCATTCAAACTCTGGCTAGAGATTCTTACTCATTTCATAGAGAATTCTCCCTCAAACGGTTTGAAGGTTAAAGACCCCTTGTTATGCATTCACTTGCCTCCATGGCTAAGTGGCTTAACCCCAACTATGTCATGGACACCCTCTGACAGAGTGACTTTGACATAGTCAAAGATCAAGGACCTAACCATAAGCCAACTATGATGCCTCAGGTCAAATGACTACTTTGCATTATCCCAACCATGAGTTCTCATGTGACATGAGTATGAAAACTCTTTATTGATCGCATTCAGTGGACTCATTCTCTATTGAGCAACTATATGCTTGTCTTGGTGTTAGTCACACCAATGACTCGAGACCAGTCACTCTCTCTATGAGAAGACATAACACGTACTGATCTTAACGGACTGTTAATGCCCAATTGGCAATCCTATGATCAGGAACGTTTAGGATATGTATACGAATGAGAATGGTCTCGTGAATCTAACTTCTTTTGATCATATTCTCCCAATTACATATTCCTTGGACTTATCGTTTAAGCATATAACATTTATATAAGATGACTTTAAACAATAATCTTTGCCCTTTATATTAAACTAGATTAGTTTAACATGTGAAATGTCTGTAAAGTGTCATCATATGATTAGCTTTAGGGCACATTTCTAACAGCTTCTCCATATTCCAACAATGAAGTTGTTCAAACTACTAATGGTGAAGGTTTGAGAATTTCTCATATTGGCAGTTCCATACTTACAACTCCTGTCAATCCTATCAAATTGAATTCCATCCTTTATGTTCCTAAACTGACATAAATTTATTGTCAGTTCATAGGATTTGTTTGGATAAGAATTGCTGGCTAATCTTTGATGCATTTTGTTTTTGGATTCAGGAGAAGACCACATGGAGAATTCTGTACAAGGGACTCTGCACTAATGGACTCTATCTCATCCACTCACTTGCTACTAGTTCACTTATATACCAACCTTCCAAATCTTTAGCTGTTGCTTATCTTGGACAACTTGTTGGTTCCAGCTTATGGCATACTAGGTTAAGACATCCAACCAACCATATAGGTTCATTACTAAGTAAGCAAACATTACATGTAATAAAGGCACAGTCTTTAATGTGTGTCAATGCTATCTAGAGGGAAAGTTTACAAAGTTACCATTTCAATCCACTCATACCAAGTCTGTCATACCATTTGATACTGTACATAGTGACATTTGGGTCCTACACCATGTAAATCAATTGATGGTTATAAATACTATGTTACTCTCATTGATGAGTGTACCTAGTTTTGTTGGTTGTTTCCTTTATACAACAAGTCATACTTTTATGATGTTTTTGTTACATTTTGTGCCTTTGTATCCACTCAGTTCTCTACTTCTGTGAAAACCTTACAAAGTGATAGGGGTGAATACATGAGTCATAAATTACAAACTTTCTTCAATCCAAGGGTATTGTACAACATAAATCTTGTCCTTATACACCTGAATAGAATGGGTTAGCTAAGAGAAAGCATAGACATGTTGTTGAAACTACTGTTACATTGTTACAATATGCCAAACTTCCATTTCAGTTTTGGACCTTTGCTTGCCAAGCAGCCATTTACTTAATAAATAGGATGCGAACACCAGTGTTACACAATCAATCACCTTTTCAAGCATTATATGGGCATAAACCTGTCATGACTCACCTAAGGGCATTGATTGTTCTTGCTATCCTTTACTTAGGTCATAGAACACAACCAAACTTTAAACTAACACAACGAAGTGTGTTTTTCTAGGGTATGCTTCTAAATATAAGGGTTACATCTGTTATGAAGTGTTAAAAAGGAATTTTTTTTGTCTCTAGACATGTTGTATTTGATGAAACTGAGTTTCCTTATCTCAGTTTACTTCAGTTGTCAAAACAAAGCAGTGCTCAATCTGTTTATACACAACAACCATGCATCACACCAATTCCCAATGCTAATAATATATTGGTGTTGCCTGTCTCTCCTCCCCATACACCATCCTCAAATCCTATTATTCAAGCTTCAACTTTAGTGCACCGATTCCTAGTCCTGTTGTTCATGCCTCAAACATTGTTCATCACAACAATCCTCATCATCACATATGTCATAGTCCATTACTATTGCAACAAGTGAAAATATTCAACTCTTTGTGGATCCTGAGTTTAGTCTAGAATGTTTGCAAGTTATGTTACTTGTTGCACCATTAAGTATGCATTCGATGCAAACCATAAGTAAAAGTCGTATAATCAAACATAAAGCTTTCTTGAGTGCTCTAGGGACAGCTGGTGAGGTTGATATGTCTCTCATTGAACCAGTTACATATAAATCTGCTATGAAATCATCTATGTGGTTAACTACTATGAAGGAAGGGATTGATGCCCTTCATTCTCAAGGTACTTGGTCTCTTGTATCCTTTCTATCTTGGAAGAACTTAGTGGGATGTAAATGGATTCTTAAGATAAAAAAGAATTCAGGTGGTTCAGTTGCAAGGCGCAAAGCTATATTAGTTGTAAAGGGGTTTAGTCAAGAGATAGGATTGGACTATGGAGAAACATTCAGTCTTGTTGTTAAACCTACAAGAGTGAGATTAGTTTTAGCACTAGCTGCTCAATTCAATTATCCTTTAAGGCAGCTTGATGTTAAAAATGCATTTCTGTATGGAATCTTGCAGGAAGAAGTTTGCATGGCACAACCACCTGGATTTGAAGACCCCAAGTACCCTCATTTAGTTTGTAAGTTACATAAGTCTTTGTATGGCTTAAAGTAAGCCCCAAGGGCTTGGAATGAAAGATTCACAACATTACTTCCTTCTCTGGGTTTTCAATCTACATATTCAGCTTCCTCTCTCTTTGTGAATCATGTTGGTTCTGAGATAGTGGTTTTACTTGTATATGTTGATGACATAATCGTAACTGGGAGTGCTACAGTTGCTATACAACTTGTCATTCATTCTCTTACTAATGAGTTTGATATTAAAGATTTGGGTACACTCCATTGTTTTTTGGGCATTCAAATATCTCAAACAACTATTGGTTTGTTTTTACCACAAACCAAGTACATCCAAGATTTGTTGTACAAGATAGAAATGAGTGACTACAAACCTTGTGACACTCCATGTTTTCCCTATAATCGATTACTGAGGGATAGAGTTTCATATCCAAATCCTAGTGCATACAAAAATATAGTTGGTGCTTTGTAGTACCTCACCTTTACTCGCCTAGACATTGCTTTTTCATTGCATCAAGTGTGTCAGTTTATGCCAAAAACCTATGTTATCTCACTACACTGATGTCAAATGCATTGTACGATATTTGAAAGGAACAATGTCTTCTGGGATTACATATTCTGCTGGTGAGGTATGTTTAAAGGCATTTAGTGATGCAAATTGGGCAGATGACCCAAATGACAAAAGGTCTACAACAGGGTTAATTGTTTTCTTGGGATCAAATCCAATATCTTGGTCCTCCAAGAAACAACAAACTGTTTCACGGTCATCTACAAAGGTAGAGTATCGGGCTATGTCATCCACTGTAGCTGAACTTGATTGGATTCAACAACTCTTGACTTTTTTGAATATTCAAATGACTTGTGCTCCTGTGCTCTTCTGTGATAATCTGTCAGCCATAGCTCTCTCTTTTAATCCAATTCAACATCAAAAGACCAAAAATATTGAAATCGACGTTCACTTTGTTCATGAAATGATTGCTCAGATGAAGTTGTTTGTGCAATTTGTATCTTCTCGGGAAGAGTTCGCAGACATTCTTACCAAGGGTCTCAGTGCTCCATTGTTTTGAACTCACTATAGCAATCTCATGCTTGGTTCTTCCACCACTTATGCGTTTAAGGGGGGATGATAGAGATAATGTACAACTCGTATGAACTATGATTGTGACACTTGTAATAAGATTAGGAGAGTTAGTTATAGTTGTTAGAATATGCAACTATAAAGGTTCTTGTATAAATACTCTCATAGTGTAATAACTTCCTCATTATGTAAGAAAATCAGAAAAAAGTATTCTCTCTCTCTTTCTCTTCAATTTCTCTCAACTTCTCTCTCTAAAATCTCTATACTCAACCTTCTACTTCTTGGTTTACGAGGCTGATGGTTTAGGCTTCATCAGAAGATTAGACGAAACAATAAGATATTTTTTTTCTTTCGGTAATTTCAACGTTGAAGTATAAATTATTGTGTTTCATTACATAAGTATTAGTTTGGATCGTAAATGCAAGTTGTGGAAAATGAAAACTAAAAATACATTTTTGATTCTTTGTATCAAAAAAGATGTAAAAAAAAAAGGAAAAGGATAACCTTAGTTATGTACTTCTAGTCACATAGTACCAATAATTTGATTGGTACGCAATAGTTATTCAAGTCAATTGGCTAAGACATTAGATGGTATAGTTTTGTCAGAATTGTTCACTTTGTTTTCTGATCAATGTATCCTCCAAGCTTCTATAGTTTCCAAGGTATATACAGAAATATTTTGACCGAAATTAACTTTATAGTTGCCTGACCCAAATTTTCAATTGGCCCATATATAAACGCAGGACAAACAATTTTTTTTTTTTGCATATAACTGATTAAAAGAATGAATAAATATCATATAAAATACAAAGTCATATGTTGCACAAAAAATAAAAATTCAAGAACTTGTCTAGTTCACTCGCAATTTAAATCCTCCTGCACCACTATTAAACTTTTCTGATCTCCCTGTTGAGAGATTGAATTGAATGGGAGTCCTAACCTAAGCAACTGGTTTTCATCCCTCAATCAATCTGACATTTAGAACTAATCCAAACTCTCTGTTTTACGCTTGGAGCTCCTCTTTACCGCAATTCTTCCTCCTGCGCAGTGTAAAGTTTAGATCGTCTTTGCTGACAAATCAAATGTCATGGTGTAGTCTATGATGGCAGATTTCTTTTTTTTCATGATAAACATCAGTTCTACTTTTCCAGTCAGTATAGTTTGGTTGCTTAGTGTAAGAACCCATCTGCTCAATTTAGTTCCAAGAACGGAACGGCTTGGCAATGCATTCAAATTCAAACTCACCTCAACATCAATCTTTTTGGTGGAAAGCATTCCAGCCTTGCTCTTAGGAATAAAAACTTGCCTGACATCCACTCTTTGGTACAAAAACGTGACAGTGCCTGCATCAAACTTGTATGGACCCCAATTTGTGTTCTTGACTCTGAGTTGGGTTGTGAATTTAGCGTCGAATGAAGATGTTGCTAGTACGGAGTTGAGGGCTTGGACATTGATGTTGCCTAGCCTGACCTTTGGGGTCTTAACTTTCATTATAGTGAGACTAATTACTGTTATGACGATTATCTGAAACACAATGAAAATACCAATGTACGTAGCTAATTTGATTATCTTCTGGCGCTTGAGCTCATCAGTAGATTGCAAAGATTCGGCATCATTATTTTTCCTAGCCATGTTAGCATCCTTCTCAATTTTTGATATGAAAGTTGAAACTTGAAACTTGAAACAAAAGTTATCTGCTAGCTTTTGTTGGTTTCTTTTTATGTGGGATGAAAGCTTGTAAGTGGAAGGAGTTTGTTTGTGGGGTTATATATAAGGGTTTAAGGTGAAATATGATGTTTAGTGGTATAAGAACGAAATGGCTATAATGTAACCAAACACATGTATAGTGTATAGACTTATTGTCAATATAGACGGCTTTAGGAAGAAGTCTTTTATGTGACAGCTTACAAAGGTTTTAGGAAGAAGTCTTCTATGTGACATACCTTACACATGGATAATAAAAAGGTTATTGAGCCAAAAGTCAAATAAATTTTTACTAATTAGCTAGAAATCAAACTATCAATTTTGGTTTTGAATATATCATTAAATTATTTATAATAATTATACACAAGTAAATGAAGCAGGCCACATGAGTTTAGGTTAGTTTTATTTAACGAACAATATTCTCTACACTAAGGGAGGGGATGGGCTTAGCCTCACAATGGACGAACAATAATGTGATTCGAATTTGCCTTTGGTGATGGGTTTAGGTTATTAGAAAATAGCTATTCTATCCTTTTCTCACTTTAATTTATTGATTGCCTTTTCTCTTCGCCTTTCTCCGTTCTTATCTACAACCTACGACTTTCTCTCACGTCTTTCTTTTCACTCTCTCCCATCTTTTCTCCTCCCTCTCTCCTATCTTTCTCTGCGACAAAAAAGAAAAGGTCATTAATGGTTGCAAGCACGACCAAATCTCAAATGCTCAGTCCATTAGCGTATATGACATCATGATTGACATAATTCCTTCTAGTTACATCAACAACCTCCATAAGATCATGAAATGAATGGTGGCGATGGGGTTCAGGAAAGAGTGGTCGCACATCAGTTGTCGAATATAATTTCTAGAACAAAGTTTGTGGAGGCTAGAGTCATAGAAGTTGAAATTAAGCATCAATAAGGTCTAGAAGACGTTGTGGAAAGAGCTCGAGTATGAAATTCAGCAGTGAATCAAATTTGTGAAATTTGTATTAACACTAATCTATGAATCGAAGAAGAAGAATTGAATGAAGAACTATTGCAGAAGAATTAAAAGAGAAAGAGATAGAGAGAAAACTAAATGAAAGTTTGCATTACACAGAATGGATTGAATTACAGAGAAGTGTTTGCTCTTTATACAAATTGCCTAGCTTCAATAGTAAGCTAATAACAAACTAACAACCATCCTTAACTTCCTACAATCCTAACTGTTTAGCAACCTTGCTGATGTGTTAGCTAACCACAACCTTGCTGATGTGTATCATTGCTGTGTATATCAATCAACATCCCCCCTTAATCTCAACTAGGTTCCCGAGTTTGAGATTGAAAGAATGCTTAAGAAATGATGGACTATGGAGTCCCTTAGTTAATATATCAGCAGTTTGATCCTCAGTTGGCAGGTATTGAACTTGAAGATCTCCTTTTTGGACCCTCTCTTTTTTACAAAATGATAATATGTGTCCAGGTGCTTACTTCTTGAGTGAAACACTGGATTTGCATTAAGAGTAATGGCAGATTTATTATCATAGTATATTGCAAGGGGAAAATGTAACACCGCTGCCATATTTTTCAAAATATTTCTTATCCAAGCCATATCAGCAGCTGTGTGAGCTAAGGCATTATACTCAGCTTCTATAGAGCTTCTTGACACTGAATCATGTTTCTTTGATTGCCATGAAATTGGATTATTTCCAATGTAAACTACATATCCAGTGACAGATCTCCTTGTATTCAAGTCTGCAACCCAATTTGCATCACTAAATGCAGCAATTCCAACTTCTGTATTAGCTGAAAAAGTGATTCCATGTTGCATAGTTCCTTTTAAAAACCTTAATATTCTTTTAACTGCCCAAAATGTATCTCAGTATTGCATATGCAATCTATGGCCTTGTAAAGGTTAGATATAGCAATGATCCAACAATGCTCCTCTATGAACTTGGATCTGACAATGCATTTTCTTCAGTAAGAAGCAAAGGATTATGAGGCTTACATGGTGTTGATACTGGTCTACATGAGTCCATACTAGCATTGTGAAGAAGATCTTTAATATACCTGTACTGATTGACACAAATATCCTTATTCTGCTTGTAATTGACTTGTAGACCAAGAAAATATGTTAACCTACCCATATCTTTGAGCTCAAATACCTCATACAACTCTGTGATAACCCTTTGAACTTTACTAGAATTAGAACCAGTAATAATAATGTCATCTACATAGAGAAGTAATATAACAATATCACTTTCACACTATTTGACAAATAAATTCGAATCAGAGTTTAAAGCTAAAATCCCATTGTAGGTAGATAGCTTGTGAACTTAGAGTTCTAAACCTTTGGGGCTTGCTTAAGTCCATATAGGAATTTAATTAGTTTGCAGACATATGTTGGCTTCGTTAAATCCACAAAACCTTGAGGTTGTTTCATGTAAATGTCTTCTTGCAATTCACCATGCAAGAATGCATTTTTAACATTTAGTTGTCTCAAGTCCCAATTATTGGTTGCAATTAATGCCAAGACAATTCTAACTATGGTATGCCTCATTATTGGACTAAAAGTTTCTGAATAGTCAACACCTTGCTCTTAGGAAAACCCTTGTGCCACTAACCTTTGCCTTATACCTTGAAACAGTACCATCTAGATTCTTTTTTATTTTGTATAACCATTTGCTGCCAATAATGGACCTATCAGTTCCTTAAGCCCTAAGAAAGTCATACTCTTCTTGCATTGCACTTTGCTAATATGGTATTATAGCAACTTTTCTGAATCTAGATGGTTCAGCAACATCACTATTAACAACAAAAAATAAGAAACCTCCACCAAAGTATGCATCTTCAGTTAATTGAAGTGACTAAAGTTCAAATAATGCAGTCAAATATCCTTTATAACTTCTCTGTGGTATGGTACCACTCTTCAATCTAGTGATCATTGGATGAAAAGAAACATTACTTGATTCACCAGGATTGGATAATATAGGGGATGAGAGAGAAATAATTACCTTGAGTTATGTGTCATTATGGATAGGCAACATTTGTGATACACCAAAGGAACTAGGTTTGAGGAGATGGGAATCTCGAGTTGATGAAGAACCCTGTAAAAGCGATGAATGTTCTGAGACAAATGTTGATTCCAGAGAGTGATCTTCTAGCAGAGTTAGCACTATGTTCAGACATAGAGATTGACATACCATGTGTAGCCTCACTGTTGTTTTCCCTATGAGTAACTTGATTTTCTGTAATATTTTGAATAGGAACCTGAATCACAACAGGTCTCTGATTATTACGTAGAACCAGTGAATTTGTACTGAACTTGGTACTAAGCTAAACTTTATAGGGAAACACTGACTCATCATGAATTACATGCATTGATAAAACCAATTTCCCTGTCCCAATGTTATATCATATAACTCCTTTGTATCCCAGAGCATAACCAAGAAACACATTGAGCAGATCTTGCTTGCAACTTTTTTGCATTATAGGGCCTAAGAAATGGATACACTGTTGTCCCAAAAACTTTTAAATTTTGAATATCAGGAACTTTATCAAACAACACTTGATATGGAGACTTCATTTGTAATACTTTGCTTGGCATTCTATTAATTAGAAATTTGCATATGAGTAAGCATGAAACCAGAAGGAAGAAGATAAATTTGCTTCAGACATTAAGGTCAATGTTGTTTATACCAAATGCCCGTGTTTCCTCTTAGAAATGCCATTGTGTTGAGGAGTATATGGACATGATATTCTATGAAGAATCCCTTTTAATTCCAGAAAATTAATAAACACTCTACTCATATATTCTCTTCCTTCATCAGTTTGCAAACATTTAATCTTAGTGTTGAATTGATTTGAGACAAAAGCATGGAATTTTGTAAATGCAGAAGCTGCTTCAGATTTAGTAACCAAAGGAAATATCCACAAGAACCTTGAATACTCATCAATGAAAATGATGTAATATCTATATCCTTCAATTGACATATTTGGAGAAGGCCCCCATACATCTGAATGTATTTTTTTCAAACATAAAGGTAGCACTACTTTGTTTTACAGGAAATGATTGCCTACACATTTTACTCGAAATACATGAAGTACATAGTGACTAAGAAGAATCTATACTAACTGGTATTCTTGCTGCTTTCAACATTGCTGTCAATATCTCCTCGGTTAGATGTCTTAGTCTCTTGTGCCAAATTGCCGTCTTCATCATCCTTCCCACAAAACTAGCTTTTACATCTTGTTCCATTCCATTAACAAACCTTGATCTTGAAAACACTGTCATAGGTATGGTGAAGAGTTCCCCATCATTCATTCCTTTGTAGAGTATCACACTGGTTGCCTTATTCTGTATGAAAAACATAGTATCATCACATATAAACCAACATCCATTATCATGACACAATTCCTTTATTTAGATATTTTAATTATTTTAATAAATTTTTTGACCCATGGGGCCCACAACTTAACCAACCTCTCATCTCATCTCTTTCCACATGTCTTCCTTCCCCATTCTTGAAGACTCTAGAACTCTCTTCGTCCCTCTTACTCTAACTCTCTCCTCCCTCTGTAACTACCGGGGCCTAGGCAATCAGCCCCCTTTCTCATCTGGCGAGCTTCACCAAACTAACATCGGAATTTTCCCTTAACTCTCTCACTTGTCTCTCTCTCTTTGTAAGTGCAGAGATACTGGACCACCACCACACAACTCGCCGGAGTATCATACCATCACCGTCCATCCTTATCAGCCGATCGAGGTTCACCCTTGTCTTAGTACTGAAACCCAAACCCTAAGCTACAAACACGAACTCCAACTCTATCTCCTACGTTGCACAGTGGCTTCCATGGCCACTATTTATTGTCTTCTCTGGTGAGCTCGACATTTCCAACTAGGTAAGGATCAAAACCCTCAAATCTTGTCCTCGTCATCGTTTACGTTGTTTTCCAGACTTATATGTGGACTTTGGTGACAAAATAACATAGAATCAATGAAGGGGAAACTTCGCCAGTTTTCCGGCGAGATTTTGAGAATGTTATAGGCTTTTC